TCTGAAATAAGTCTCTTCTGCTCACCAGAGGCTACATTTACTCAATCAAAAATACAATAAAAACAGTAATATCATGAAATTACGATTTAAAATACCCGTTTTGTATTTGAATATATTTTAAAATGTATTATTATTATTATCAACGCTGAAATTTTTTTTGCTGCTTAATCATTTTGTGGAAACTGTGATGCTTTTTTTCAGGATTCTTTGATGAATTGAAAGTTAAAATGAACAGCATTTAGTTGAAATAGAAAAGTATTTCCTGTCCCTTCTGAATCAATTTAATTATTTGGTGAATATACACTGTGTGCACAATTATTAGGCAAGTGATGATTTTGACCATATCATCATTTTATCCATAATTTCCAAGTCCAAGCTGTATAAACTTGAATGCTTATTGGATTTAATGCATATCAGGTGATGTGTATTTGTGTAACGAGGGAGGGTGTGGCCTAAGGAGATCAACACCCTATATCAAGGTGTGCATAATTATTAGGCAGATTCTTCTCCTCAGGAAAAATGGGCCAAAAAAGAGATTTAACTGACTCTGAAAAGTCAAAAATTGTAAAAAGTCTTTCACAGGGATGCAGCACTCTTGTAAATACATGTAAATATTTTCAAAATATATACTGTATGCATGTATTTATATATAATAAATATAAACAGTACACACACATATATTAAGTAAACAAAAACTTTTATTTTGGATGCGATTAATCGCGATTAATCGTTTGACAGCACTAATATATATATATATACTTACACTTACAGATAAACTCATATATTGAACAGCACTTTGTACATATGAAACAGACACGGTCACTTTACCTACTCCAGCTGCAGCGAGATACTGTGCAACAGGACAACCTAAACCTCCACATCCCACAACCAGAACAGATATATTACTTATGGCAACCTGACCTGCGGAGAAAAGAAAATAGTTTTTTTTACAATGCATTCGGAAAGGAAAAGAAAAGGAAAAAAATAGAGAAAAGATTCATAATTACTGTTAAATCCAAATCATTTTTTAACCTTTAACACCCAGTTCTGGCAGGAGCAGCTGTCTGCTATATCTCATGATGGCATCATTGTTCAGCATTGTGTTTGATTTCAGGGGTGAAAGATTGATAACTTTCTCCTGTAACTCTGTTAATACTGAGTTTCCCTGTGGGGTAAAAAAAACACGTTTTCAGTTTTCAGACAAGAAATGCTCTGTTCTGGCAAGGGATCCTATATACAGTATTTAACCATAATCATCCACTGTATATCATTCCATGACACAGATACCCTTCCATTATGAAAAGATGATTCTGTCAGACAAATAAGGTATGTTGCCATTATTTGTTTTTAAATATATTCCAATATATGGTATGAATTCAGAAAGGTAACTGTAACAGGGCTGGAGTTGACAATCCTTACGTTTAAGGTCAAGAAACTACAGTGTAGGATTTATTTCAGATATTTCTACAAACATGTACTTTTTTTATTATAAATTGTTTACTATATAATCACTATAACAGGTTTAACATTGAAAAATCATTCGCTCAGTCTTTTAAAAATATATACTAATCAGCCTAAACCTTAAAAAAGAGAGAGCTAAAGATATTTATTTATTTGTTTGTTTGTTCATTCATCCATTCATTTATTCTTTAGATTTCTTTTTATAAACTAGCGTTAAATGCATTTGCTAAAAAAAAAAAAAAGAGAAGTTAGAAACTCAGAGCTGGGGACAGACCAAAAACAACATTCTCATGAAGAAAGTTACTTAGTTACTGTTTTGTTTGTCTTTAGAAAATAAAATGATGAGTACATTTGCGGGAAGTTTTCATTTTCTCTTCATACAATAACACATAATAGCTGGCAATCAAATACTACTTGTTAAAATTATTAAATACCATAATGCTAAAGAAACACACAAAGGTACATCAGTTTTTTTTACACAGATAATCCACAGAATTTGCACAGAGTGAATAGAATAATGGTTGCAGACCTTCTCCAATTGAACAAGTTTCTTCTTCAAAGCTACAATCTCTCTCTCTTTTTCCAACAGCTGTGTTTTCAAACTTAAAACTGTATCATCCATCACGAAAAATCACCTCGATGCTAAATTATTATTAACAAGCAGTTATTGTGACTGGCAATTGTGAGTATAACGTCTAAAAGAATACCACAAACAGAACTAGAAATCTCCCTGAAGAAGACTTCCGGGTTTGCACGCGTGTGCGACCACGTGTAGCGCACATACCACGTGATTAAAACAGAGAAACAGAGGACGCCGCGCAAACCGATCGCCGGCTGACTTGAAGCAGTGCATGCCTGTTAGAAATTTTGTCCGACTTGAACCGGCGCCGACTCTACGTCACTGTCACGTGTGGCATCAAAGTACCGCGATAGCGTTTTTTTTTTATTGCAAACAATTCAGAGTTGACATTAATTTGGATGTATTGTTGATACATTACACATACTGTATCAACAATACATCCAATGTCATCTGAACATATGAAAGAGAAGAGAAAAAAAAAAGTTGATAATGACTGTTAAAAGAGAAAGATGCATTTAAACAGCTTTTTTATGAACAAAGGCAGGAACAGAACAAATAAAGAAAAAACAAAACAAAACAAAACATCAAAACAAGTATTAATCACGGTACATGAAAGATCTCATCATATCTCTTCAAAAAAGAAATACATTTTTTGTTATTAATTACTCTTAGTGATTTAATTAAATGTTCTACTTCACATAAGAAATCTATAAAAGTAGGTATTTTCTTAAGAAACCTTTGTTTGTTAAAATAGAATTTTGCCACAAGGATAAGAAAGTTAACAGCAGATTCTAAAGATTTGTTTTGGTTTTCAAAAAAGCAAACAACATCCTTAATGTGTAAATTACAGTTCATATTAACTTTAGAAAAACAATAGGAACTCAAATCTTTCCAGAAAAGTGATGAAACATTACAAGAGAAAAATAAATGACAAATATCGTCACTTTCTTTTTTACAGAAGGTGCATATATCAGCTAGGCCTACATCACAAAATTTCGACACAACAGCGTTACAAGGGTATATATTA